AGGTTTTTTAAAGTTTAATAAAATGTAATTTGATTAACTATTTCACTATTCATAATTTTTATTCGAGCTAAAAATCATCAGTTATAGTTATCTACTCTTGAAAGGAAACATTACAGGTAATTTATTATTTTCTTGCTCCATCTGTGTAGCTCTTTGTGATGAAACGGAAACTACAAAGCCAGTACTTAGCAATGGATACAGCAATACTGTTTCTCTAGAAGAAGACACTTCTATTGCTGTTGAGGATTTAAATGAGTTTATGCGTACTCATGACAGGTGTTTCTTTGAGCAACAGTTTATGGTAATGATTACAGAAAGTAAAGCCATAAAATATATATTTAAATCAATTCTTACATATATTTTTATATACGGTAATTGATAATTATGCGTTGTTGTATATAAATATATATATTTTTTTATTTATTAACAAAAATGTTTTGTTTAGAGCGTCCCCGCTCCCAAAGATGTTTCAACAAGTGTAGGGCTAAGTGACTTAAACAAACACAAAAACAAATTCAAAGATATTTTTGCCTGTAAGTTTATTATACTAAATGTTAGAAGACGGTGTTACTTTTAGTTTTACATCCAACTAATGTTGCAAATATAAAATAAAGACTCGGTTTACAAATGACCATGAAAGGCAATTATCATATCTCAGATGACCACTCGAGAGTCCTTCTCGAAATAAATGCAGATGAAAATGAAGAAGACTACATTAATGCGAGTTATGTTGAGGTAGTATAAACTATATATTCTCCAAAATAATAGCTAATAGTATATTTATTTGTGGGATTTGTAAATTTATTCTGCATAACACATACAATTGTTTTACATACTATGATGATTTTGCAGGGATACAAAAATAAGGAAAAATTCATTGCCTCTCAAGGTAAAAGAAATTTAAAGTATTGTCTCCCCTATTTGTGTTTTGTATTTAGTTTGAATACTAACTTGATCTATTTATATATTCTTAGGCCCCAATCATGCGGTTTTAAACGACTTTATAAGAATGTTATGGGAACAAAAAGTTGAAACAGTTGTAATGCTGACAAATCTTTTTGAGGAAGGAAAAGTAAAATTTGTTTGTATTTATTTATGATTTAAATAATGCTATGTTGTTTTTAGGATGTAACATTTTAAATAGCTTAACTTAGTAAAACTATAACTTTTTGAACAATAAAATAGCTATTTTAGTTAACGTTACAAACATTTTCTTAATTTATGAAAGTAAAAGAATGCTGAAATGAATCATCATAAATTATGTAAATGTTTGTAGCCGAAATGTGAGCAGTACTGGCCAGATGAAGACGAGGCTACATTTGGTCTGATCACAGTCAAACTGACAGTCACTGATGTGTTCGCTGACTACACCATCAGACAATTTATTCTAAGTAAAGTAAGCTAAAGAAAACACTACTGTAGTAACATAACAAATATCGTATATACAATTAAAATAGTAATCACGTTGAACAAATGTTTTTACAATTACATTTTTGCTATGAAACATTTATTGTTATGGCCAGTACCATGTTTTATAATATGTGTATAGAAATAAAATGCAATACTATTGTTTTATGCAGAATACTTAATAAAGAAATCAACTTATTAGACTGCTTATGTTCACTTATTAAATTAAACCATTATATTTCAAATTAATTGGTTGCATATGCTAGCAGCAGAGTAATATTATTAAATTCTTTACTATAAATGTAAATATAAAGCAGGATATTTCATGATGGTACATCAACATGGGAGAATGGGTCGATTCATTCAGTTAAACCTTATTTACCATATCCACAGAAAGGCCACCCACCACACTCAGTGAAACAATTCCATTTTACATCATGGCCTGACCAAGGTGTTCCATTAACTCCATGGGCTCTTGTAGATTTTGAGCAGAGAGTGGCATCACAGCCTACAGCCACCCCTATTGTTGTACATTGCAGGTAGAAAAAACGAACAAATCCTTAAATATTGTAACCCACTTATATAATATCTTTCAATTTATATATTAGAAAAATATCATATACCAATGTATCAGTAATGTTTTTTTCTAATCACAAGTGCTGGTGTGGGACGTACTGGAACCTTCATAGCTCTACGTCACGTGATTAGAGAAGCTGAGGACACTGGACGCATGGATTTCTTTAAAACTTTAATCAAACTCAGACAGGCCAGAGTCTTGATGATACAGACTGCTGTAAGTTGTGTGTTGTGTTGGTAAAACTTTAATCAAACTCAGACAGGCCAGAGTCTTGATGATACAGACTGCTGTAAGTTGTGTGTTGTGTTGGTAAAACTTTAATCAAACTCAGACAGGCCAGAGTCTTGATGATACAGACTGCTGTAAGTTGTGTGTTGTGTTGGTAAAACTTTAATCAAACTCAGACAGGCCAGAGTCTTGATGATACAGACTGCTGTAAGTTATGTGTTGTGTTGGTAAAACTTTAATCAAACTCAGACAGGCCAGAGTCTTGATGATACAGACTGCTGTAAGTTGTGTGTTGTGTTGGTAAAACTTTAATCAAACTCAGACAGGCCAGAGTCTTGATGATACAGACTGCTGTAAGTTGTGTGTTGTGTTGGTAAAACTTTAATCAAACTCTGGCAGGCCAGAGTCTTGATTATACAGTTCGCATTAAAATGTGTACCTTGAAAAAATTGAGCAGCTTAAACTTATATTGTTAATCAGTTAGTTATTACCAGTGGCGTAGGGAGGTCGGTTGTTAACCGGTGCGGCAGCTAATGTTGTTTAATTCACTCTAATTAATCATTAAATTAAGTGAAATTATAATTTTTCTGTATATATTTTGCTATTTTTTGCTTTGGCGTCACCCCCCCCCCCCCTAAATGGTGTCGCCCGGTGCAGTCCGCATCCCCCCCACCCCCTCTCCCCTCTCTTCGCCTCTGGTTGTCAGACTAATACATTAAACTAATTTAGGGGGTAGGCTTCAGAAAATCAATAAGCTTTATATTTATTTATTTTGTGTATATATAAGTAAGAATAATAATAGAAAATATGTATATGCATCAGGAACTCTGCCGAAAGTATGTTTGCTCTTGAAATAACAGCATTTTTTTGAGCTTTCAAAGTTAAAAAACGGACATATATTTTTGCTAATTTTCAAAATTTGGTATTGTGAAATACAATTAAAATTAAAGCTAAATTTAATGGTATTTCACCTTACTCAATTTTGAAAATTCGAAACCGAGTTTCGCGAGTGTTTTTTATTTCTACAAAAACTAGCCACCCGACTATATTGGTAAATAATAAAATCAATGATTACATGATCAATGAATATTTTTTTTTCTGAAACGTGGGACCTCTACAAAGGTAGTTTTTTTCAAGATGTCCGCCGTTTCAATGACAAACATACTTTTAGAAGAGTCACTGATACATGCAGATATTTCCCTTAAAATTAACAAGCCATTATGTTTTATATCATGAACGATAATATTTACCAAGCCATTATGTTAATATAAAGAAACCAAATTTACAATGAAATTTAGATTCTTTTAAATGTCTAGAGTTATCTGGATTTTGTATCTAGGCACAATACGAGTTCCTTCATAAAGCAGCTTGCGTTGCCTTGGTGTGTATGAAAACAACTGTGGCATCTTGTGACATTGGAGAAATAATTAAATTTCTACACACTAAAACTAAGTTTGGTTTAAGTCATATTCAGAAAGAATTTGAGGTTGAGTATATTTTGATTTATTTATAATATCTTTTTAAATGCCATTGCAATTTAGCACAAAATGACTTGTTTAGTCAGATAAATTGAATACTCTTACGAACGATATATTTGTAAAATATTGTAATAAAGAAATGTTCTCACTATTGAAGTCTCAGGACAGACAACACAACAGTTTGTTTGAGTGTGCAATTATTGACTTTTTTCACCATATAGGCAGTTTGCAGCTTGTGTCAAAATGTAGATGATGGTCACAAAGAATCTGATGTAGGTGATGTTTACCAGAACACAAGTACTTCAGGCAAGCAACAGAAGGACAGAAATACAAAGATTTTACCACGTATGAAACAGACACATTTAGGATTAAACTAGTATAGATAAACATGTCTTTGTGATCTTTAACCCATCATGACCAAAATAAATTATAGTAATTTATATGTAACATATAATAAAACTACTTCTCTACAGATAAAATGTACAGAACACAGCTTATTAAAGATACAGCTAATACAAGTGACTATATAAATGCTGTTCAAATTCCAGTATGAGCTTTAATATAACAAATTGATAGCAGTTTGAATTGAATCAAATTTTATTATTCCAATTTGATTTACAACGCAAAGACTAAAAAACATTTTATTATATACAATTTATCAAATCACCATTTTGCTAGACACTGAAGCTACATCATAGGCGTTATAACACTAAAAGTTGATGTTTTCAGAGTTTCAGAAAAACTAGACATCAAATTTTAACACAGCTTCCCCTCCCTTCAACTGTGGTTGACTTTTATAGACTGGTAACTCAGTACAGAGTGTCTCTGTCTGTGGCGTTTGATGGGGATGTTCAGTCACAAGATTCCGTATGTGGTTTTGTGCATTTTTATTAGAATAACTTAATACATAAGTCTTTAGCTTCCTTTTATTTACCGTCTCTACATTCGTTATGTGGATATGTGCATTTGGTTTTAGAATAACAAAATTGAATATTTGCTTTTTAAAATTTACAATCACATGTATGTAGATTTTGACTTTTAAGAAAATTAAGTATGTGGATGTGTGTATTTTTATTACAATTACTAAATTCGTTTTTGGTTATTTGACCATGTGTTAAAAAATTGAGTACGTGATCATTTGTCGATAACAATATTTAGTAATGAATATGTTATGGCACATATTTTTACTAAAAGTATAATGCTTTAATTATTTAATGTATCAAGTATTTTAAGTGGCAATGTTTTTGTTGGGGTTTTTTTCCCTTTCAGACAATAGGAAATTACCTTCCTGTGAATACAACCGAACCATTAAAATGCGAACCTTTTGTGATTTCAACCAGTGAAATCAAAGGAGATAATATCCTGGAAGAGCAGTAACTGACCATCACTAAAACTTCACAGGTTAATGTTCGTGTTGTCATTTTAAAAAAAAAATCGATTATCCTGACAGATGTATGACCATGAAAATTCACAGAATAAATGTTTTGTTTTTTACTAAAACAAATAAAAAAAAGTTTACTGTTAGCCGACTTAATGTGTGCAAGTGGAGCCTAAAGATTTGCATAACTGGTATAACCAAAAATGATAAAGGGTTTAGTTAAGATTGATAAATGAACTAAAGTAAAATGTTTTTATATCAGGAAAATGAGACACATACATTGACTCATTTAAAATCTTCTATCAATGAATTGGATCCAGACAAACTTTATCAAATTATTGAGAAGGTCAGGGCACAAGCAACGAATTTTGATGGAAAAGTTCTGTTTATGTGCAGGTTAGCATTTTCACATGTTTAAGATATTATTTGTACATGTTAGCGGTGCACAAAGTTATTTTAAATATTTCAAATATAAGTTAAAATTCTCGGCCTACTGAAAGAGCTTATGAAATGTTTTGCGTGTTACAACTGAACTAATATGTTCCTTGACATGTTTAGTGATGGAGCAGAATGGAGTGGTTTGGCAAGTGTTCTCACACTGTTATTGGATAGAATGGACCACGACCAGCGTCTAACTGTTCCACTTGTTGTTGGGGCTATCAAGAGTGTACGGCCAGAAGTTATTTCATCATTGGTAAAGATTTTTAAATTCAATTTCTTGTCAGTTTAGTTTTCGTAAAATTTGCAAAACAAGGTTCTCTTTTACTATAGTTTCGTTGTGTTACTGAGCCATCAATTTTCTTTTCGAAGCTTACTGTGGCAATTTATATTACATATTTAACTTGTTTGCTAGGTTTTATTTTGTTAATATATTAGCTAAATATCTAAAATAAAATCCTATATTTTACATAATTTTCGGTTTCTATATAATGTAGAATTAAGTGTTATGTAATTGACTCCACAGAGTCAGTATGAAGTGTTGTATAAAGGGTTGGAAAGATACCATGAGGTGACATCTTCATACAACAATGTTGGTGATGTCAGGATTGTGCCAATTATTCAGACAAATGAGAATGGACAACACGAAGACTCTGTGTATGCCAACAATGATGTTAAAACAGCTGTTTGAACGATGCATCTGTGATTAAAGCATCATACAATGAAACATCACAGGCCATGTGGGGTTTTGTACATAATTCAATTCAATTTGCACTCGATAGCTTCATAACAAAGGCATATTCAAATGTAGTTTTTATCGTTTCTAATTTTAATACATACGAATATTTAGTCTTAAATTATTTAATCTGTCAATGCTAAAAATATGTGGACATTTAATTAGTCTAGATGTGAAAAGTGTATGGGTCTAGAAAAGTATAAGTGGTCTTTTTCTATACGTCATGTTTGTTGATATTTTTTCCATTTAGACAGAGGCAGAACTGACAATGTGTTAATATTATTTTAGAGACCAAACTACTCCTTTAATTTTAAATAAATTATCATTATTGTTATCTGAGTTATTTTTGTTATTACAAAAAAAATTTTTAATTAATATATTTCATACGATCATAATATTTTTTTAAAAATAATAATGTATATAGTGTTTAATAGGTATATTCCGAGGCTTCACAATGGGGTTGATCGAACCGAGTGATATAAATAGGTGTGACACACATGTATTTAGGCCTACATGTTCTTTGTCGTCATACTACTTAATGCAATAATGCTTCTTATAGTAGATTATATTTTATATTAGTATCTTTATTGCATCACAACTGTTGCTACTTACAAAAAACTGGATCATGATTTATGAAGCGGTCTACACAACAATGACAGACACTCTGCCTTCACACACCACAACAAATGAATGAAAATGTTGAACATGAATATTCATAATGCTTCGGTCTAGACATCCGTAATAATATATGGAACTGCGATATTAATTGAAAAACCATCAGCACAAACAACACTATCAAATGAAAGGAAAACACACTGATATACAAAAACTAAGAACACATAATATGATTGCGCAACAAACAAATTACTAAAAACCATCAAAAGAAAAATTAAGTTATAGTTTAGTGAAACACGACTATTAGGTGTTAACCTGAAATCCCAAATCTAAATAGGCAGGACAAAAACAAAACACAACCTGAAGACGTGAAATAAGTGATTACATTATTATTCTTTTAAAAAGCATGTGAATTGCCAATGTGTTGATAAAGAATTCTTTCACGTTATTACCACAAAGATCGCTAAGTCAGATTGTCAGGAACTTTTGTCATAGTTTTATTTGCAGATTATATGGAACTGCTTTTCAGCGTATTTGAAGAAGATTGACACTAAATTTGTATGATTGAGGCATTTTGCACTAAATGCATGCAGAGTTTCTTCCAGGCATCTCTTCGAATTTTTTTTACCGCCCCCCCCCCCCCGAACGAAATAAAATTTATATAATTTATATAGAAAATATATACTTTTAACAGTGTCCGCCCCCCCCCCCCCCCCCGAAGAAAGTCTACCGCCCCCCCACCGAAAATTTCAAGTTCCCCCCCCCCCGGGGAAAAAAGTCTGGAAGAAGCACTGAATGCATGGTTACATCTCATTATATTTGAAGCAATGTGTCGAACCACTTCTAAAAATATCAGTTTTTGTAAAAGAAAATCTAGTTTGAAATGTAGTTTTTAGCTTTATCAAGTAGTCTTTGTTCAGTCAAAGTGAGCGTAATATATATTTAGCGTTGTATCAGGGCCCATATATTTTACTTGCTACATCGCCAGATTTTGACTAAAGCTCACATAGCTCTACTATTGTCGGTGCAGTTATCAAGTAGACATACCATAATGCAAGTTTTCCAGGTTACGCTAATACACGGATTTGCAGCATAATTTAAGATGATAACAAAATCACATTTATTAAACAGGCCTATATTGTACCTACTCTTACCATCTCTCCTGTATACACGCCCATACATGTATACACAAACCACACACATTGAACCAAGTTCAACTTAGTTCCATCTATTCACTTGTACCAGAACAGTGTGTAAACAAACTTAAACTACACTCCATTCCACTTCCCCCTTACACTGATCCAAGTAATGTATCACGAGAACACAGTGGTGTGTAGGGGGATTTCCCACAGTAGACCTGCGAGGGGATCTGTAACTGTGCTGTTCAGGAAAAAAACGTTGGCAACATAGATTCATCAGACGCAGCTAACGAGATATTTGTTACATTCTCAACTACCAAATTGTCAAAAGATAGCTTGTAATATCAGCTGAGACTAATCTAGTAATTCGAAGTTACGTACACCACGCCAGTGAGTGAATGTTGCATAATTAATTATCGATCTTTATTTTTAGCTGAATTTCTACACACTTCTAATGCATTGATTTCGTTCAGAATTTCCAAATACTTCAGAGGCGTAGCGACCCTTCCCGGCGCCCGGGAACAAACTTTTCGATTTGCACCCCCTCCCCCCCTCGAGATTTCCATTTGCACCCCCCCCCCCTTAAACTTTCGATTTCCACCCCCCCCCCCCTCGAGATTTCCATTTGCACCCCTCCTCAACCTTTCAATTTATTTTTCCAACCCATTTTGGCGCCTCCTAAGGTCGGCGCCCGGGGACATATGTTCCCCCCCCCCCGCCCCCCCCCCCCCCACCCTCGCTACGCTACTGAAGTACTTTCGTCATAACTATCTATATAATTCACTACGTGAGTACCATGCAGGACACCACCAAAACCACCACGTACACACGACGAGCCGCCCCCTCCTTCGCTCTCTAAGCATATCGCTAATGTTTAAAATCGTATAGCCGGGTCGAATTAGAGACGGCTATTAAGGGCAGATAATTTAGTTTTCAAACGATTTGAAACTAAGGGGAGGTAACAAGCTCTGCTTGATATTTTCATTGTCGTCAGTAAAATGTCGTCACGGGCGGCTGCTTTTAGGGAGGCGGGGAGTGAGGGGGGGAGAGGGGGAATTGATAGTGAGGATAATCATCCTTCACTAGCTACTAAAAGTGTTGGAAAGCGAAATATTTTCAGTCGCAGCATTGATAGTGACGAATTCACAAAATATGAATTACTGAAAAGTAGAAAATAATTTTAAAAAATAGCGGCTCTCATGTTTTATTCTAGGTCAGTATCAAAAAGTCATAAATTGTTTTAAGGATTTTAAAATTAAAAACAAAAGGGGAGACAACAAGATAATGTATAAGCGACAACTTGATTAGTTAGCCGACAGGTGAACTGTTGGTCACAGACCTTTTTTTTTTCACGCATGAAAACCAACACCTGACTAAGAAAGCGCATACAATTGTACTTTACAGATAACACACTTCTTAATGGGTTTGTAAAGCAAACATATTTCGTCGTGTATGGTGTAGGCCGTATACTTTGAACGAACTGTATTCCTATTCAATTGTAAACTTTGTAACTAGCTTTACGGTTTGTTGTCTTTCTACTCCCCGGCGAAATGTCCGCTTCTCATGGTGTTTCTAACTTAGTGTTGTGACAACCTTCTTTAACATTTTACTTTTATTTTATTGCGGAGTCTTTTAAACACAGTCATGTTTGTCGATTGGGTTTTTAGTTATATTACAAATAAATTAGTTATAATTAGTAGGATATGTTTTAAAATACATAAAACAATCGCTGTGTACATTGTATTTAATTTTTTTTTATTGTATAGGCTTAAAAATGTTTAACAGACTTGTTTTTAGAAAACTAATATATATTATAAAGCTGATAATCAATAAGGACTTCCGTTAATATTTTTATTAATGCATGCAACTAATCTAAGTACCTTTTAAGTGCCATTTACTAACCTCACAGTTCATGGGTTTAGGTGAAGTAAAGTACACAATGACTTTGACATATGATGGAATAGTGCCCAGCCGTTTTTACTATGGTTAACTTGATTCAGGTACCTTGCAGGGCGGGCTGAGGACATCATTTGGACATAGTGGGATCGAAACTCCAGGTTTTCAGGTTAGCGGTCGAAAGCTCTACCATGCGACCATGAAATAAGCGTGTGAAAACTGGATTGTTAGTTTTAAGATAGGGGTGTTTTAAATAATAAGTAGACCTCCATTATTTCAGCTAGTTAATTTATAATAAAACCAATCTTAGTTAGAAAGCAAATAAGGGAGATAATTAATGTCCTAATGACCATGTAAAAATGTTTTTTTAAAGATTTATAATTGGATGAGTTCGTACGTATATTTTATTCGCGTTATGTGAACCTGATGGGGCAAAACTTGTATTGCAAATTATTTAAATTTTGTGTATGCTGTGACATTTACTACGTTTTATATATTGCTGGTATGTATGTGCTCCATGATATCACATGTCGGCATATTCGACTTTGTGTACAGAGTATACACACAGAATGCTGTGAATGATGACATGTACCAGGTCTACTTTTCTGTAATGAACTCTACGTTTGTTAGCTTCCTTATTTAAAATTCATCCGGGGAAAAAATGTAAGTAAAACATACTAGGTTGTGTTGAGTTGAATGACATACAGAAAATACACATGTTTTTTTTAATGAGCTTTGCTTTTTGAATCGTTCCACATAATTTTTTAAGGAAATAAATCAAAGAATCAAATCATTACAGTCTTGTTTATAATTATTTAAAAGAGTTGTGATGTTTTCTCCTTGACCAACACTTGCGTCATTGAAGCTGTTAGTTATAAGAAAAGAGAATTTTTAAGCAATAGGTGGATATTCACTATTACAATTATTTGCTAATCACAATTTTGAATATACTCAAATAAGGATGGAAGTGTGGGAGATAACCGATCACAACGAGATTTTTATCATTTAGAATTCGAAATGTTCAATATAATAATACATAAAGAAGCAGGAAGTTAATTATATTTTTACTAAGCATCAGGCAGAGGTATTTATTGAAGGTAAGATATTTTCTTTTAAATAACCTTACTTAATAACTTTAATTTATAATAAGTTTACTTGATTAAACTGAAGCTGCTTGAAATTTTGTTTTAAGCATAAAAACTAAGATAAAAATAAATTTAATTTTTATTTTATTGTAAACCATCCACTAGTTGCATATTTTTTGTTCACTTTCAGATTAAGATGGTCAGACGAGTTATAATTTCTGTTGTAATTTTATGTGTTCAAATCGTGCACATGTGTTCAGGTGACTCTTATCTACTTGTAAGGCAATTATTGAGATACAAATGAAACCAAGTATATATGTAGTATTGTATAATCTAAACATTATATAGAATTAGTTGGGTCTTATATCTTTCCTTCTATATGCTAGATAAAGGGCTAATGACATATTACAACAACTATAAAACCCAGGATCAATGTTTCTAAACAAATCAATTTTTTTTTTATTTTTGTAGTTGACTGTAAAATTATATTCGATAAAACTATTATTCTAACAGTTGTAAACAGTGTAGATACAAACTATTATCACTGGGTATAACAAGTAGGCCTATATATATATATATATATATATATATATATATATATATGTATATATATATATATATATATATATATATATATATATATATATATATGAGGAGCTGGCACAAATTAGGAGCTAGAAATACGTACTGATGACCACACCGAGTGGTATCATCGAGAGGAATGTTACCAAGGCGTATTGCTTAAAATGTACAGAAACAAATAATCTGGTTTTAAATTAAATCCAGAGTTTAAAACCGAATAAAATGTTTCTAATTAGAAATAAAGTTATGCCACACCGTTATTAATTATGTAATTTTTCAATGCCGTCTACAAAGCGAAAACTTTGCAAATTTTACAAAGAAACTGTCTATTTGTCTTAAGCTTTATACTTCAGCAAAATATCTACAAGACAATGATAAACGTGACATTACATAGAAATAGATCTGTACATCGTTTTTTATAATTCAAGCTTCGCCGTGTTTGCTATGCAAATTATTAAACGCATACGACAAGGTCTGAGTGTGTGCATGTGTGTTTTAGGGGTAAGTGTGCCACCTGTACAAAATATATATTTGCCTGCCCTACATTTGGCCAAACTGCGCTTTCGTAATAGCCAAGTATATTTTGATTTTGTTTGTGTTAGGATAAATAGGCTACTACACAGTTCATATTAAACGTTGTTGAATAAGGAAAGATTAATTATCATGTAGGACTACCTTGTTTATTGAAGAGCTGTGTTATGATTTTGATTTTTAAGCATTTGTTTCTTTGGAAAATTATTTGCTATTTGATAGTATGTCTCTTGTAAAAACAAATGTCTATTGTTGATTTTGTGGAAATTTTGTCTGACATTTTACATTAAAAGAAGTGATTCAGAATATAAATTTAGAATTGTATTTCTACAATGAAAATGCATTTAAGTTTAACACATTTTACCTCGATTTTTGTTTATTGGAAAAAACAACTTAATTTGGACCCACTATTTCAGTTCAAAATGGTGTGTATTTCTAAGAACCAACTACTGTTTTCTTTAATCCTTCAATGACTGTAATAATATTTTAAGCATGTTTTCCTGGAATATTCCGAAAAGCATACGAAGAAAAGCGTATTAACCCTTAAGACCTTTTCTTATGTTTTTTTATTTTTTTTTATTTTAGTTAAGTTTTTTTTTTCTTATTTTCTAAAACGACTCCTTGCTTATTTCGTGTTAATGGATCTTTATCTGGTTTAAACAAATTCTCAAACATTTTAAGCGCAACTGGTCGTGTGAGCCTAAATCCTTAAAGTTATATTTTTTTCCAGGAAAACATAAGCGATATTAATTTAGTTTACACATTTACTTATTTATACGCACGTGTATATATAATGTATATATATATATATATATATATATATATATATATATATATATATATATATATACATATATATATATATATATATATATATATATATATATATATATATATATATATATATATATATATATATATATACACATATATATATATATATATATATATATATATATATATATTTATATATATATATATATATATATATATATATATATATATATATATATATATTATATATATATATATATATATATTTATAGAGATAGATAGATATATATGTAATTATATATGTATGTATGTATATAGGGAAGCCTTGATATATTTGTGTCAAACAAACATTGATTTTTATGTTGATATATATCTGCATCAAAGCATGTGACGTTGGATGGTTTGGCCAAGACTGTAAGCTCCAGTGCCACTGTACAAACAACAAATGTACAGACGACGGTACCTGCATCAATGGGTCAAGGTGTGACATTGAATGGTTTGGTCCTGCTTGTCAGTACCGTAAGTATATGTCGTAATCTCCAGAATAAGATTTAGAAAAATAAAACATTATGTACCTTGCCCTTGTTAAACGTTAACGTGTGCGTATGCCAGTCTAATGGCAAAAAATATCGTAATTTTATTTTGTACAACTGCTTAAAGACAAATTATAAGTTCTCATGTCCCCATACTATCAGGACGGAGACTGGTGCTTTGTAATTCCTCCATAAACATAACTACTTTTATATAAACTGCGTTTTTTTTTAAATTGATGATTTCTTGGAATTAGTAAGAGTCTTATCACGAGATTTCTTAAATGAGAAATATTTGCAATGAGAAATATTTTTAACAATTGGCATCATCACTTGCCTTCTTAAAATGTTTCGCAACTAGAGCGAAAGACTACTTGTCACGAACAAAATTTAAAAAAATACTTTTTGTTACCAGTAACATCACCAAGCAAAACAAAGTTATATTTTACTTAATTAACATCGCAGCAATTTTTAATTATTTAAATTTGTGTTAAAAACGTATGTTTGTTTCATGGTGATCATTCATTAATCACTTATATTAAATAACGTACAAGGTAAATTTGCTTGCATCTTCAAATCTCGCTTATAAAAAAGGAATTTTGAGTTAACAGTTTGCTCGACAAAGAAGTAGCTACTAGTGGATTAGTTGTTATTAGCATGAAAGGTAACATGGAATTTTGTTTAACAAAGGGGAGTGCGAGGGCTAGCGGTAGAGCGCTAGGCTGCTACCCCGAAAGTTTCGATTTTGAGTTCAAGTCAGAAGAACTGTTCTTATTCCACTATTATTTATTTTTCTACCATAGTATTAGTATCGTATAAGTAAGTCAAATAGATACCACAGGTAGATTCTCTCACACATCATTAAGTATTGCGTATCAACGTGTTTGGTGGTCAGAGAAACGAACTCCTGACTTTAGGTAGTTCGTATAACACTTATATGGGTTTCTGGCATTAAGGAAGTTTAAGGGGGTGTAAAGAATTACCTTGCTACAATACTTACACATTGTAAAGGTCACAGAAACAAACAACTCCCATTTCGACTCACCTAACCCTTCATCGTGTCGCTAAACATAGGGCCTAAATCTAATCATGATTACAAAAATGTGTTCTAAGCTTTACAACCAGACTGTGTATCTTAAGTCATTTTATGTAGGAACATCAGACATAGAAATTAAATATCGGGTGGAGGAGAGTACACATTGACAGCATGTAATTCATTGGCGTCAAAAACGTGAAAATGTTTAAGTGTATGCAAATGTCTAAAGACCAATAAAAGGGTATTACTTTATTTAACTTAGTGTCATTTTTCACGATTATTGAACTTGATTATAGCCAAAACATAAAATAAATCATTCGGCATTGTGCGTGTAAAAAAGAAACAATATATGAAATGGATCAAAGGCATACTTAATTTGTTTAATATGTTACTTGTTTTAGAGAATCTCGCAACAGTGTACACATCAACATTGCGATTGGATGGTTTAAGTTTAGCACAATGTCCTGGGTGTAATGCTGCAGGAGCTGAACAAAGCATTGAAGTCTCCTGGAACATGTCCTACCCTTTCACTTTTTTATGGGTACAATTTAAGCAAGCAAGTAAGTACTAACACGGGCATTGTTGGAGGCTGAAATCAAATTTAATCAGCGTGCTTAACCAGTATCTGTGTAATCTAATAACATGAATCATTAAATATTTTAATACATACGGTAGGATGATGAAACGTTTTATTTATTTTACTCCGAGTAATCAAATATGTATGGGTAAGAATTTTTTTTTATAGCTTCGTTAAAAACTACAACACTATTTATAGTGTAAGCAGCAGTTACCCTGAGTACTTTGGTGTACTTAGCATTACAATAATCACAGAAATAGTTTTAGCAAATAATATAGAACGATGTTATGGTATATACACATTTTTTAGTAATATTTTTTTTTTACTTTCCAATTATTATTATTAAAACAACTCTATAATGATAAACAAAAATACGAGTTAAACTTGAACATAGCTCAATCATATTTTAGCAAATTATCTGACGACAAACTTAAACATCACTTACGGAAACTCTACGTGTGACTCTATTTACCAATCTGCTATCAGCCAGGACACGGTTGAGTTCAGATGTCGGACAACAGTAAATATGACACGTCTTGTTTTGTCAGGGAATAATGTAACAAATGTCTGCAATGTTTATATCAGCGGAGGTAACTATGAACTATCTAGGTTTTAGTTGAACATCTTGTACCTAATGAAACATGTTGATAAACACTGTATTTGGAAGATGTATTCAATATAATAAAAAGCGTATTACACAATCTAGGTAGGAATGTTGCAGTTAAACAACCTGCCATACAAGACAGTACGTATCCTACTGTTAATGACATTTCTTCAAACGCGTCAAACGCTGTAGATGGTAATAGAAGAAGTAGTTGGTACCTGGGATCATGTATACATACCATCAACAAGACATCGAATGAACAACCTCATTACTGGACAGTTGATTTCAGTGGTGAAGCATACAGTGTCAACAGATATGTTTTATATAGCAGGTGGGACAACTTATCTGATGGTAAGTAGCGGGAAAGAGGGTAATCCGTAGCAGTTAAAAAAAATAATTAAATAATAACTTCAACTCAGAAGCAGTTTACCTAAAGCGTTAATAATATTCTCAACATTTTCTAAAAACGATCATAGAGTATAGAATAAAATAAAGCATGATGATCAATATCAGTGTGTTTAATTCGACTAATGTTTTGTACATTTACAAAATCGTAATAACTGGTTTGATTTTTAAATAGGAAATTTATAAATATGACTACAATATTGATTATACAAAAATATTTAGTGGGGTGTGTATTTTTTACTCTTGCATCGCCTAGCAACAAACCTGGTGGAACTCAATTTGTTGCACAGTATCTATAATGGCATAGCATGTAAAGATTTAATCTATTTCGTAATTTCCTGTTGTATTAGCCGCATCTTGCTGCCCAGATAGAATCAGTGGGTTTACACTAACAAGTTGGAACGACAAAGGTGACCAAGTGTTCACATACACGGCTCCTAAGTCAGTGGCACTAGTCCACACTGTTGTATCAGGATCACGTGATGTTGTTCGTGTCAATGTCACATTGGATGAAGAATATTTAAACTTTTGTGAGGCCGAGATTTATGGAGGTGTGTACTATAATAAATACAAATGTTGCTGAAGTGTGTTTCATAAAATCAAAAGTAGCCTGTATGTTTGATAGAATGGGTTTGAAACATATATCAATCTATGTCCTATTATTATTATCAGACACATTTAAGTATACAAATTCTAAAATATGTTGAATAATTTTCAATAGAATTCTAAAAGATGTTTAAATGTTGTCATCTGTATTTCTCCAGTAAACATATGCCCAAAGAACAAATACGGCCTAGACTGTACTAAAGAATGTAACTGTGTCAACAATGAACAATGTCACGTGGACACTGGTACCTGTCCATCTGGCTGTGCTCCAGGATACACATTTGAGGGATGCCAAACTGGTGAGAAGAACAAAAGTGTTTAGACACAAGCTTGAATGTTATCTCGAAAAGACACTTCCGGATGTTTATACTATTGTTTGGTTCACTTGATCCACATAAATTGTGATAAATGTGCTCAACTTTATTGTACGTCACTATATTTCAGAATGTAGTGCAGGTACATGGGGTTTTGACTGCCGAAAATCTTGTAGTGTGAACTGCTTTAACAAAGACAGCTGTAACTTTAAAGACGGAACTTGTGATGGAGGTTGTAAGGCAGGATTTGAACCTCCATTTTGTACTGAGGGTAATATACATTTAAAGAAAGTATTTAAAATTGATAACTCATGAAATCTCTTCAACATTCAAGCCACTAATGCTTTTACCGAAGAAAGTACGTTTTTAGTTCATTTAAAATAAAATAATTATTGTAAAGGGATTTAAAAAAAAAAATTTGGTACAGTTTACATGTTTGTGTTAGCAGTTCTCGGTGGTTTCTTTTATTACACACGTGTTGGTATTTAATTTATTGAACCAATATATTTGTAAACAATTACTTTTCTACGACAACCTTCAGAATGTTACAAAGAAATGTGGGGCATTAACTGTTATGAAACATGTAACAGAAACTGTATTGAGGACCTGTGTGATTCAGTCAACGGCAATTGCTTAATAGGTTGTAAAGAAGGATACATAGGACGACAATGTTCAGAAGGCGAGTAATGTTTATTTTAATGATAACTTAGCATAAAACACATTCTGTCATTTCTCAATGAACACACGCCTAATATATATAATTTATTAAGACTATTTTTAATGTAATTCATTTGTTTTTAAACACACAACTGTGAACATGGGACATGGGTAACACATGTTTTTCTTACTTCTGCCGGAATAGCAAAGCTAAATTTAAAATATTTTAGTTTTGCAGTGTGTGAAACGGATTCAATCTGCAGAACTATATTGATAATTTAAATGTTTGTTCATAGTTCAGATTACAAAAGCCTTTGTGTTTTATCATTTGAAATGATTTTAAATAAACAAGATTCTTTGCGCCACTAATATGATTTTGGACAATCAAATTCTCAAAAGACCCGAAAAATGTTTCCTCGTGTTACACTTGGCTTTGTACGTATTATGGCTCGTTGTGCCAGGTGCACCACGATCAAATAGAACACAATCAACGAAGATAATATATTCCATTCACTTGTAATTTTCACCACAAGAAATGACAAGAAACGACAACAAATGATAACAAATGACAAGAAATGAAAAGAAACGACATTGTGTTTCCACCGCAAAACATTCGTCTTCGTCTCAAGTGTCAAACAGTTGCTCTCTCTAGAAAACCAATTTCAAGGGGAGGCCACTCTCACTCTTTCTCTTTACTCTAAGACCTAAGTGTATACATATTTCGTTTTAGATGACCACGTTGCCGTCAAAAGAGACAAATGCATGAATGGACACTTGACCGAATGTGACAAATGCCCGAATGGGGAACATGTCTTAAAGCCACTTGCCCAAAGTCCGTTTGCCCGAAACATGTAGAGATTATATAAAAATATAAAAAATACCTGCGCTTGGCTTGCTGGCTTTGTCTTTTATGGAAATCCAAACGCCAAATTCCACACTAGTTGATTATAACTGCAAAAACGTTTTAATTAAAAGTTTTGAAGTTATAATGTTAAAAAAGGAGAAAATGATTTTCAATTAATATAACACTTTTGAAATATGTATTTTACATTGTTATTACATTTCGGGCAGGTGAAGTAGGATTTATATTTCTCTGTTTCCTTGACATATGAGACATAGTAAGATCAGTTCCATGCTAAACCGCCTTTGCTTTCCCTAACTGTATACTAACGTGTCGGGGCTAAATAGGATCAGCTACGCCCTACAGACTTAGGTTGGATACCCGAACTCGAGACTTTCGAGATAGCAGCGTACGCTTAAATCTTTAAACCATGTTTTTTTTTACATAATTAGATTGTCTTTTTCTTTAAAAAATAATTAGTTGAAAATATAGATAAAGGTTAATAGGTTCATCAATACACGATGTCACGATTACGATTTTAAAACTACTTTATTCGATCAAAATATTGGTAAAAACACACACAAAATCTCTTGTTCTTTTCATGTTAAATGCAACATTGAAGTGTTTTGTTAATCCAATCAACTTTAAAATGTTAGAACTTTTATTTGTCAAAAGAGTGTTGATTATAAATGGGTTTAGATGATTGTTGTCTTATTATAAAATGCGAGGGTCAATATTTAGAATTAAAGCTTTAACGAATTCCTATTTTAAAATCACAAATAATATTTTACTCAACAGTAAGGAGTGATGAAACTGCTGAATGTAGAGCTACTGGGATTGGTATTGGCATTGGCATAGGAGTTGCGGTCTCTTCTGTAATATTTTTATTTGCTGCAGTCATTATGTACCGTCGTGGGATGTTGTCTCTATGCAGAAAGTTAAGCGAAGGAGATGATAAAACGGGAACGGACTCAGGAAGAAAATATCGAACTGGTAAAGCACATGCATCTGGTGTTCATTCATTGGACGTCGTGCAATAATATTACCCTGTTATGTTATGTCGAAATCGTGAAAATCTTTTTGTGAAGTTTTATCAGCTGTAGTTAGTAGTTTTTTGGCATAGATAAAGTAAAAAGTAAAGTTCCCTTTTCAAACCTGACGTTCTATAGGGCAAGTGAGGTAGAGTTCACTTGTTTCTGTGACCTCGGCATATGAAGAGATAGTGTTGTGAGCACTAAGCCCAGCCGCCTTTACTTTCCCTAACGTGAGTTAGGTACCCATCAGAGTTGGGTGGACTCAGAGACGGTCTACTGACTTGAGCCAGGATTCGAACTCGAGACTATGTTGGCATAGATACCTACTTATGCAGTATTACTTTTTTTATAAATATGTTGATATATAATAGCCAAAGTTGAATGTACTTCTAATAATATATTTAAGAGAAATAAATGTATTAAACCGAGTAAACAATGACATTTCCAGAGTACAACAGCGCTTACAATGATGTAGATGATACAGAAGCTTCTGGCGTTCAGCAGTCCCAACACAACGCAGATGTCGATGACAATCTACATGCATATGACGCCATCAATCTAGACGATATAGGCAAACAGACATCAGATTATGTAGAAATTAAAGTTAAACACAATGTCAACTAGTGTGTTTAAGTATTTTAGTAAAACATGTTAAAACCCACATTTGTATGTTCTACATGACAGTTTAGGCTTTCTATTTTACTTGTTTGCAAAAACATCCCTAGTGCGATATCACATCCTAATATATAAAAGCCCATGTGCGCACTTCTCTCTCTTTCTATCTTTCTCTCTGTCCGCAAAATATTTTCGCAGGATATCACATCAGAATCTTCAGCGATATATGGAGAACTTGATACGGACTTTTGTTGAAAATAATATGGTAGATGTTTTAAATGTATAAAAACAATTTTATTTAAAGAAGAAAAATTAAAAAAAATAAATGCGTATTCGAATGTAGAAAAACAATTTTAATTATGCAACCGGAAAAAGGTTTATAGTTGGGACAAGAGCGCATTTAACAATGACGTCACTTAATGTTTACACTAAAAAGAACACGAAATTAATGACGTCATATTCCGAGTTTAGAATAAAATAAAGAAATAAACTATTTCATTAAAATATTATTTAGAGCTACGTACGCTATGAAATGTATACAATACGATTTTCTCGCCTAAGCTTATATAAGTTTTTACTTTAAATGTGTCGGATTTTTTACCAATAACTATTTTATAAATTATTTTTCTAAAAAAAGTTCAATATTTTTAAATATACAGGCCTATAATTCACGTGAAACGGGCACCGATGGCTAGTACTGATATAATCTTGTTCACACCCGTATCAATTATATTTATTGTATCTTGTTTTATATTGCAGTGACAACATAAATATTCAAATATCACGAAATTAAGCTCTTGGAATATCAGTTTTACATACTAGTCGATGTAAATATGTACGTTTTAAATGTTTTCTGACAATCTTTTGGTGGTCTTAGTATGTAAGATGGTACAACGTGTTACCGAAATTTTACTTTCTGTGGCACGTTGTAAACTATTCAAGCTGGTTATTATTTTTTTATAATACTTGAGCGCTTGAGAAAAAATGTACGCAATTTTAAGACGCGCTAACACCTAACAATTCACATCAATATTACTACTGTAGGAGATGTGTACATTACTTATAAGATTGGTTTTAAAGATAAGTTTTATGTAATATGCATGTTTTGGAATTTTAATAAAAAAAATAATTATACATTTTCTTGAAAATAAACAAACATAAAAAATACGAATGTTATTTTTTTTTATTTCTTTACATATATTGTGTTTTAAAAAACACATTAGCTGTGGTTATGTTAACTGTATTATTCGGTTTCTAATAGAAAAAAAAACTGTTGAGTCAAAAGATGCAAAAAAAAAATAAAAAATAAAACGCTTAACTGTATACAACTTGCATGAATTGTTGAGAACCCTCGTATAGCTTTTTCGGAGGTGGGGCGCGGGGGGTGGGGGGGGGGGGGGTGGGGAGATAAGCTTGCGTGTGTGCCGTGGTTTATATGACCGCGAAAGTTATAGGATAAAAAAGTCTTAATCTATTAGTGTGTT